AGCCCCGCTAGAGCGATGTCTCGGCGTTGGACGTCAGAAGTGGCTTCATAGAATTGGCGGTCCAAGAAGTGATCCAGAGCTCGAATGTGGCGATCCAAAAGGGCCACCGATGGCCGGGAGTAATCCCCCATTCGTGCTACCATTCCCTTTGCAAACAAGTGGAAGGACAAACTATCCGTCGGTCGACAATCTTGATATAGAACTTTGTTGTCTTGTGACATGTATGCATTTTGCGGAGTGTTGAGGGAGTCCAGTGATAACCACTGGGAAGCGGCCGATCGGAGGGCTCGGACTGTGCCAAAGCTGATGGGAGTTTGAGCACCTCGGTCGTGTTTCTTGGTGGAATGGCGGAGGCTGTACCATTCCTGACACCACATGAGGGGGATATCAGGGCCGGAAGGGGGCTCCAGCAGAGCGGTGGGCTGCAATACTTGGATGGCAAAATTGGTCTCAAATTGGCGGATAATATTCAGTTTCGACTTGTAGCTAGCGTGGGTTCCTTTGGCCCATGAGGAGATGATGTCCAACATCCGGACGCGTTCCAACATCAAGAGGAGGAGGTCGTCGGCACGAACTAATTCGCGTTGTAGGTACTGTCGCACAGTGCAGGCTTCGCAGACAAAGTTGGGCCAGGTGGCGTGGCGGGGGAAGGTCAAGCCTTCATCGCGGAGGCGGCGAGTCTTGAAGGGTTCCCCAGCGCGGAAACAGTCACGGTGGTAGGTGGAGCCACAGGCACGGAATCGGCCGAATCCCTTAGCGGAAAACGTGCATTGAAGCCGTGTCTCAGTCTCCTTGCGGCTGAACCCTCTCTGGCAACCCGCGCATAAGTGTGGCTTGGGCGGCATGCCAAGAGGGGGCGGCAATGGGAGTCTTGTCCAACCTAGAGTTGGGATTGAGGGAGAGAGTGTGAGGCGCAATGTACAGAACAACAATTGGTATCGGCAGGAGTGGCGGGAAGCGTAGGTTGGTCTTGTGCGGGTAGATGGTGTCAAGTTCGCGGACGTAACGAGACATGTGTTGCCAGGAAGCTTCAACAACTCTGGGGACAAAGAGCAGCGCGGAGGTGGTGAAGGGGCATTCAACCCACGAGTTGAGCAAGAAGGTGAGGAGCTGGCGGGCCAGCTCCGGCGGTGGGCACCATACTGTGGTTTGGTGGAGGCAGAGGGATGCTGTCCAGGGTTGGTTCCAGGATCTGTACTGCGTCACAGGGGCCGATTGTGGAAGGTGGGTCCACACCAAAGCCATGTCAAAGGGGACTGGATCAAAGATAGCCTGAGTCAGTCTATCAGAATCCATAATGTTTTGAAGTGCCGACATCCAAACGCCGCGACTGAGGCCATCAGTCCCTTGGGTGATCAACACTCGGCCTGGTACATGGACAACTTGGAGGACACATTGCAGGTCCAGTTCAAGAAGTCTGATCTCGCTAATCAATTTGTGGAGGGAGCGTGTCCGGGAAGAGCCTGTGGTGGCAATCCAGTAAACTCCCGAGTTGTCAGTGAAGTAGAAAACGGTAGTCCCAATCACCTGGTGGGCATGGGGGCTTTCTTTGATTCGAAGCAGGGTCTCTTTCAGGGTCGCTAACTCTTTCCATACAGAAGGGAAGATGTAGATGGATGGTTTCCATTTTCCTCGCCACATCTCAAAGTCACAATTTGGGAGTTGTATGGTGCCCCCGGTGCCAGTTCCACTTCCGTCGCCAAAGGTTGGAACCAGTGTTGCAGCTTCCCATCCTCTGACAAAGCGTCCTTCACTCCGAGTGAGGAACTGTCGCCACCAATGGAGTTCGTCGAGCACCTCCGAGTTGAGGAAGGTGGTAGTGTAGTAGGGTGCCGCTCCGTTGCCAAGTCCTGGTGGGTGGACAATGGTGTGGAACTCTTTGAGATGCGTATGTCCCAATCGCCGGGGAGTTGCTTCTGTAAGAGACTCCAAAACGCCGACTGCAACCGCAAGACCAAGACGGGACCACCTCTTGTGCTTTGGAGATTGGATCAAGTAATCACATATGGCCAGTGCCCTTTCTTTCTTGGCTTCTGGGATTCGAAGGCAAGGGACAGCTGTGGTGTCAAAGAGGAAACCACAGTACTTGACGACTTGCTGAGGCGGTACCAATTTCTTTGGGTGAAAGAGGAATCCACAGTCAACTGCCGTGTCCAAGAAGAATTGCAGCCCTCGGGCTGTCTTTTCGTGCGTGGGCCCATGGATGAGGAAGTCGTCCACCCAGACCCAGATGTGCACAGCTCCTCCATCGTTGGAGGTCAAGATGAATCCATAGCCAAGCTTGGGATCGAATCCGTTGGCTTGTAGACCCGTCCAGTAGCAGTTAGCTCTGGCTTCACCTTGGAAAACGCCAAATTTCTCCTTCACAAGTCGTACAAAGGCGAGACCGATTCGGCAGGCAATGGCTGGACTGTTGCCGGCTCCCATAGCTAGCCCATAGTAGGTCAGTAGCTCCGCGGTCTTAGGATGTAGGAGACCAAGGTACGGTCGGTCATCTGGGTGTGTCGGAAAATTGTAAAAGAACTTGGACAGGTCGACCACTGCAGAGTATCCTTCAGTGTACATTTGGTCCACAATGTGAGCAATCCTGGGCATGAAGACAGGGTCCTGCCCAACACAATCGTTCTGACCACCCCGTAGCATGTCGGCAATTACCCGCCATTGTCCCGGCTGGCCATCCTTCCCGACCACAAATAGAGGGGCATTGGTGAGGACGGTCAGCCCTTCATCGATGCTTCAAAGTACCCCAAGTTCAACAAGTTCGTCCACAAATTGGACAGCAGCCTCTAGCATTTCTTCATCCATTGGAGCATTGGGTCGGAGGCAGGGATCTGGCTGTTTCAGGAAATTCTGGCGTGCCCCATTTCGTAGTTCCTCCCAGTGCTCAGACAGGAACTCCCACCATAAAAGTTGAAGTCGTTTGGGGTCCGGTCCCTCCGAGTTGTAGTTGTTTCGGTGGACGGCTAGTCGTTGGATGCCATCCCAGTAGATGTTGTCTGGTTCCGGATAATGGTCAGCGGCCCAGCGGAGGTTGGCAAGTCGTAGTGTGTACCAGGGGCTACCCAAGGAAAGATCTGGGGGATGCCAATCGAACACATCGTTGTCGAGTGTGATGGTCGTTGCCCCGGGCAAGTGGTCCCCGGTCTTTGTTCCCTGTGTCGTTTTCCCGGGTGCAGAAGTTGGGTGGCTGAAGAAATGTTGTAGCGAGAAAGACAGGTATTCCCAATGGAAAAGTGATGTAGTTCGTTGGAGGCTCTTGTGTGACAGGTCAGTTTCGCAGCCTTTGGGGATGCCCAGTTCTCGTGCAAGTTCTTCCTTCATGAGTCGTCGAACACCCTTCTCCGTTTTGATCCATGCCCCTATTTGATTAGGCATAGGGTCGTGTAGGGAGTGGGGTGTGTGTGCACTGCCAGATTGGGAGTAGGAGTTGCGCGGTACCAATCCCGGTGGCGTGAGGAGATTTCCCATAGGCCGGATCACAGAAAGATCTCGATCCAAACTGTCCCATGTCCATTGTGCCCGACAATCAGTTCTTGTCCGAACCACCAGTAGCCGTTCTTGGGTGACGGCACCTCCTATTGCTGTTGCCTTGATAGTACGGCAATTGGTATTGTAGCCAGCTTCTCTCCATCTAGTAGTTGTAGGTTTGCTTGTTGGTCCGTACTGCCACAAAGTTGGGTCCGACCGCCAGGATTCAATGATAACCTTTGGTCTGTGTTTGAATCCACCATGTCTTCCCATGGTTCTCGATTGGGGCCGCCACTTGGTCGAGTGTAGTGGCCTTTCTCGGTCACCAAAAGATCCACCGGATGAGTGTCAAGGAGCCCTTCCATTGACGGTGGGGTCCATAGAGCACCACTGGTGGGTCCTTCAAGTCTGTTGGAACAGTCTCCCCATTTTCTCTGATGGAGAATGTTACCTTCATCTTGGGCCATGCATAACGCATGACTTCACATCCACCTCCTATAATGCCCAGGGTTTCCAGTCCTACCAAAGTTGTTGCAGCTACCTTACAAATCTCTACTCCCACCGTTGCTGCACTTGCCATGACTCCATCTGTACGAGTTTGCTCACCTTCCAATTAAACAAAAATACAAACAGAACAGTCAGCTATAACGGATTAAATTGATATTGCTTTCACAAGTGTGGTGGTGGTGGTGGTGGGTGTTGATCGTAGGTGGCAGTTCGGATGATGGATGACTGCTTCATTTGGCTTGATGTGTGATGTGTGCATTGTCCCCAAAGTAGAGACCTTTTGGTCGTCCCTTCGGAATAGTTGTCCCCAAAGTAGACTGCCTTTCGGCCGCCCCTTCGGATTTGTCCCCAGAGTAGACCAAGCGGTCCCTCCGGAATTTTGCTTCAGAGTATACCACGGGTGTGGCACCTCCGGTGGTTGCCGGTTTCTCCCCCGGTTTAGGATTTCTTGGGCCAGTTGTCTGAGACTTCCTTGATAATATCTCCAACTGGGCGCTCTTTGTTGGCTAAGACGGCAGTGGCCACTTGTTCTGCCGCAACCTTGGCCCATGAGCCGGCATGCCCTGCCAGGGGGCAAACAGTCTTGTTGTGTTCCAGTTTCAAGGCAGTGTGCAGGGTTCGACTCTTGCATTGAGAACACTTTTTGAGGGTCGAATCTCCTTCCTTGTCCTTGTCCTTGGTAGGTTCCCGGCCTCCTCGACCCTTGGCCGCCCGAAGAGATTCCAACTCCCTTTGGAGCTTCTGATTCATCTTGTCGACCCTTCCAATGTTCTTTTCAGTGATGGTGTTGCTGCCAAAGTCCTTCTTGCGGGCGTCGCGTAGGTAGATGTAGTTTTGGAGGAGCAACATCTTCTTGCTGTTGGAGTTTGTGCGGATGTCCAGGAGATTCTCCGAGTGGACCTGGAGTATGACGTAGGCTTCCGAGTCTTCCCAGGCTTCATCCGAGCCCATATCTTTGTGGCGGATCTTGTTGAGAAGGGCCAAGAAGTTGACATAGGTTTCCTTGATGATGCGGGGCATCAGACCTCGTTCAACGTAATCTTCCACAAATTCAGTCGAATAACCCAGTCGGACCAGGTAGTGTAGGAACTGGAAGCGTTGATTCTTGAAGGTGTCTTCTTCTTTCTTGAGGATCTTCTGGCAGGCTTCGTGAAGTTTGTTGCTGCTGGTGATGAGGCCAAGTCCATGGCGACCTTTTCGACAATAGCCAGTGTCTAGCAGGGCGATCTTGGTGCTGTCCGACCCAAAGGTTTCCAGGAGCTGGTTCATCACTTCCTCACCTGCTCCACCACTTTCACTATCACCCCCTCCTGGCGAGCACTTACCTGGTAATGCCGCCATATCGCTTGCTCTGTCCCACAATCCTTTAATTTCTGCGTTCTTGAGACCCTCCGGCATCATTGCTCGATCGATATCTAGACTCGTAATAGAAACTCCGTGGATTTCCTCCTCATTGCCTTTAGAACTTTCCGCTTAGTAGCTCTTGATCGTGGCCTGGTGGAAAGCCGGCCTCAGGGGTTCTTCAGGGGATACTGCTGGAGCCGTTGTTGCTGGATGGTGGATGGGGTTGGCACTGATTGGTCTGGTCCTCTCCACCAGAGTTGGACCAGAAGGATGTGGTTGTTCCTGTCCCATGTTGGTAGTGGACATTCGCAATCTTGCTTCCTCTCGTTCTTGTTCCATCCGTCTGGCTGCGATGCTCATTTTATCCGCTGAGTCCTGAAGCTTTACAAAGTAGGGATGGATGGCTTCAAGGACAGATTGGAGGATAGGCTGATTGTTCTGAGTTTCAGCGGCCGCTAACTCCGGTTCGAGTATTCTGGCGGTCGTAGGTAGCTGAGGGGGAGACTTCAGAGTATTGTTACCTTCTTCAATAGTGACTTGTTTGGGCGTTGTTCCCTTCAGTGTCTTCTTTCTTGCGATGGGAACTTTCCTCTGGGAGGTTGCCCTAGTTTTCTTCTGGGTTGGGGTGCGCTTCTTCTTACGAGGAGACCGGCTTGCCGCCTTCTTTGCTTCCAGTCTTGCCTTCTCCGCTTTCAGCTTCTTCAACTTTGCCTCTTCGATCTCAGCGATCAGTTCATTGATTCGGTCAAGGTCGTCTTGGTGGTCGTCGTCTGAGCCATCCAAGAATTGTCCCTCAGAATCCACTTCGCTAGTATTGACATCGGTGTCATCATGCTCTTCCTCTTCGTCGGAGATGGAGAGAACCTCAGTGGAGACTCGGTTGAGGTGCTCGTCCATTTCCTTCTCGGTCCGACACTGACCATATTGTTGACCATGGATAATAAATTCCCCAGTTTCCTTGTCAATGTCCTTGGTGGATGGGACTCCTTCATACCAACGTGGGGCTGCCCGTTCGCCACTGCTTCGAAGTTCTTTGTGGAGGCGGAGTCGGCACTTGCTCTTTAGCTTGCCACATATGATGTTATCTTGCTTGCTGTTCGTTGTGGGCCCGACACATTTCACTCGACAGTGATTTGTCATGAGATGGACCCAAGCGCTGAGTGGTACCTCTCTTTCCTCTTCATGATCGGTCAACTCAGCTTGGTCCTCAGGTTCCGTATCTTCTGGCTCGGTGTCGGGTTGTGGTCCTCGAGGATTTCTGGAAGGGGCTCCATCTGACAGTGTAGCATCATGGTCTGAATCCGGGGCATCTTCGTTTTCATCACTGTCGATTTCAAATTGGCGATATCTCGCCGGTCGGCCCAAGGAAACGGCCGAAGCTGTTCTCGTCGAATGAGAATGGCGAGAAATGGCGGAGGTTACGCTGTCTCCCTTGCGACTCATGCCCGCGCTTGATGCGTCGGAATGTACGGTCTCCACTGGTACCCTGGTCCCTTCACGCGTCTGAGCACGAGTTCGTCCGGTATTGGGCGAAAAGAAACGTGTAACGTATTCTGGCAGGCTCATGATGACACTCCTCTCCCCTATAACTCCGATTCTTGTCTAAAAATCACCTTACCCCCTAGCAGTTAAAAATTTTCTACCTATTGCTGGAGTCTGAAGGTGTTTTGCTCAAGTTCCGAG